TACCTCAGCCTCCGCAGTAGCTGGGACCACAGGTGCATACCACCACACCTGACTAATTTTTGTATTTTTTGTAGAGACAGTTTTGCTATGTTGCCCAGGCTGGTCTCAAACTCCTGGACTCAAGCAATTCTCCAGCCTCAGCCTCCCAAAGTGCTGGGATTACAGGTGTGTGCCACCACGCCCAGCACAGAGTTTTTAGATGGTATCCATGCAGTATCTGCTGTGGAGGATGAAGGTGCAGAGGTGGATGGGGAAGCTTTGGGTGGGAGAATCCTGGGATATGTGAGGGAAATAAAGGGGTTTGTCTTAGAGGTTTCCCCACCCCCAAAGGGTGCCAAGGCTGCACCCCTACAAACAGGAATTTAGGTGTTTGACCAATAGCTCTGAGTGACAGGAGGTCTTAGGTGGGGGACAGGCAGTGGCCTCACTGGGCGCGGAGCAGCCTGGTATGCCTGTACTAACACCATCTTCTGACCTCTCCTTGCCACATCCTGCCTCCATTTCAGCTGGACAATCACGGCCGGCGACTGCTCCTCAGTGAGGAGGCGTCGCTCAATATCCCTGCAGTGGCAGCCGCCCACGTGATCAAACGGTACACGGCCCAGGCACCAGATGAGCTGTCCTTTGAGGTGAGGCTGTGGTTCGGAAGCAGACTCCAGCTGGGCTCCCCATGCCCCCTGCTCCTTCTGACCCTTCTCCTCCCATCCGCTCACTCCCAGGTGGGAGACATTGTCTCCGTGATCGACATGCCGCCCACGGAGGATCGCAGCTGGTGGCGGGGCAAGCGAGGCTTCCAGGTGAGCCCCATTGGGTGTGGACAGGTGGGGCTAGGGCACCTGCCAACTGGGGTGTTGTAGCCACTGACCCTGACGTTCCTCAGGTTGGGTTCTTCCCCAGTGAATGTGTGGAACTCTTCACAGAGCGACCAGGTCCAGGCTTGAAGGCTGGTAAGTGCCATGGACGGATGGGAGGGGTGGGGAGGGTGGGGGCTGCTTCGTCCTTTGCCTCTTCGTCTCTTCCACCCCGTTGTTCACCCTGCAGATGCCGATGGCACCCCATGTGGCATCCCGGCTCCCCAGGGTATCTCGCCTCTGACCTCAGGTACTAGAAATAGGCAGTCAGATCCCTGCCCCTGCCCCGCCAGGCCCCTGGCCGTGCTGACCCCACGTGGCCTGCCTTTGCCCTTTGCCCCCACAGCTGTGCCTCGGCCTCGTGGAAAGCTGGCCGGCCTGCTCCGCACCTTCATGCGCTCCCGCCCTTCTCGGCAGCGGCTGCGGCAGCGGGGAATCCTGCGGCAGAGGGTGTTTGGCTGTGACCTTGGCGAGCACCTCAGCAACTCAGGCCAGGACGGTGAGGCCCAGGCCCACCTACCCACCCACCTGTCACGCCAGGGCTGCGGCCCACCCAGCCCTGACCCTGCTTTCTCCCAGTGCCCCAGGTGCTGCGCTGCTGCTCCGAGTTCATTGAGGCCCATGGGGTGGTGGATGGGATCTACCGGCTCTCAGGCGTGTCTTCCAACATCCAGAGGCTGCGGTGAGGGCCTAGAGGAGGGGAGGGCCAGGCCATACAGAGGGAGCAGCAGGGCAAAGGGAACAGCGACAGGAGGCCACTGCCAAGGAGTCCCCCTGCCAGCGCGCTGGGATTTCGCCTCAGGGTTTTGGCTTTTACTCTGAGTGAATGGGGAACTGCTGGGACTGCCTCAGGGTTTTGGCTTTTACTCTGAGTGAAGGGGGAACTGCAGGAGGCTCCAAGCCAGGGCGTGGTGTAGACGGGGGGAGGAGCCAGGCAAGAGCTTGGCCTGCAGGAAGCGGAGAGGGGAGTGCTTGAAGCCTGCAGAGACTGAGAGCGGAGGACGAGAGGGGAGTCCCAGAGGGAGGCAGGAGGTAGCAGTGGGTGGGAGATTTTACCACAGGCAGTGGGGCCCTACCAGAGAATTGGGAGCAGCGGGGTGCTAGGATTTTGTCCACATTTTCCAGTGCTCTCTTATGGCCAGGAGAATGGCAGCTGCATGGTAGGAGCTGCTCACACTTTGGAGTCAGACAGTCCCAGGTAGCTGTGGGCTGAGGTGCCTCTGCCTGAGCCTCAGCATCCTCCTCTGCCACACAGGCTTGTTGGGGAGTTCAGTAAGGTTCTGCCTCTAAAAAGCCCAGTGTAGGACCTGGGGAAGACGGTTCTATCCACCTGTGGGCACTTGCGAGTAGGGGCAGGGGGAGCACGGCCAGGTGAGCAAGCCCCCTCTGACCTGGATCTTCCTCCTCCTTGATGCGGTGGTCTCAGGCATGAGTTTGACAGCGAGAGGATCCCGGAGCTGTCTGGCCCTGCCTTCCTGCAGGACATCCACAGCGTGTCCTCCCTCTGCAAGCTCTACTTCCGAGAGCTGCCGAATCCCCTGCTTACCTACCAGCTCTACGGAAAGTTCAGTGTGAGTAAGGGAGCTGGCGGGACGGAGGGGCCGGGACGCCTCTGGCTCAGACCTCATCACGCCCACCATCTCAGGAGGCCATGTCAGTGCCTGGGGAGGAGGAGCGTCTGGTGCGGGTCCACGACGTCATCCAGCAGCTGCCCCCACCGCATTACAGGTAAACCAGGAGGGGCAGGGCGGGACTCGGTGGGGTTCCAAGGGGGTTGAGGCTCAGGTGTCCCCCTCTGCTTTCACCCCCAGGACCCTGGAGTACCTGCTGAGGCACCTGGCCCGCATGGCAAGACACAGTGCCAACACCAGCATGCATGCCCGCAACCTGGCCATTGTCTGGGCACCCAACCTGCTACGGTGAGCTGTCTGCTCGCCTGCCTGCCCCTCAGCTCCCTCCCAGGGCAGGCCTCACGTCTCTCCCAAAAACCACCCCAGGAACCTGCCCAGCTTTTCTCTTTTTCGTTCGTTTGATACATATCTATCAAATACCTCCCATGAACCCCGCCCTGTCCCCAGCACTGGGGACACAGCACTGAGCACGGCCCTGTCCTTCTGGGACTCATGTTCTCGTGGAGGAGATGGAGCATGAACATCAACAGGAAAAACACAGAATACAGTCTGATGTGATGAGCGCCAGGAGAGAGGAGGGACGGCCGGCGTGCAGGGTCAGGGAAGAGTAAGGATTTTAGCAAGAGTGGCAGGGGAGGCTTCGGCAGCTCATCTATGGCCAGCAGCAGAGTAAGCCGGGAGGACTTGATGATGACTGAGACAGGCATGATCTCTGTCCTGCAGGAGCTCACATTTTCCTGGGGGCATAGATACGTAAACAAGTAAAACAGGTGGCATGTCAGGGCTGGCATAAGATATAGGAAGAAAAATAAAGGTCTGGGCTACAGAGGAGGGGGTGAACAGCTTTGAATAAAGTGGGTGAGAAAGACTGCATTAAGAAGGCACCATTGGTTGGGCGTGGCAGCTCACACCTGTAATCCTAGCACTTTGGAAGGCCAAGCTCGGCGGATTGCCTGAGCACAGGCGTTCAAGACCAGCCTGTGCAACATGGCGAAACCCCGTCTCTACTAGAAATACAGGTGCATGCCACTAGAGGCACGAGAATCGCTTGGACCTGAGAGGTGGAAGTTGCAGCGAGCGAGATGGTGCCATTGCACTGCAGCCTGGGCGACAGAACGAGATTCTGTCTCAAAAAAAAAAAAAAAGGAACCATTTGAGTTAAGACCTGCAGAGGATGAGGGAGGGCCCCAGGTGCACATCTGGGGAGCGCCAGGCTGAGAGAATGGCAGGTGCAGACGTCTGGGCCTGTGCCAGTGCCTGGTGCGATGGAGGAGCCACAGGGAGGCTGGTGTGGCTGGAGCTGAATGAGTGAGGGGCTGAGGGAGAGGAAATGATGAGGTCAGAGATGTGACAGGAACCAGATAGAGGGGTGATTCAGATCATGGGTCACAGTGAGGACTTTGCCTTTCTCCAGGGTCAGGTGCAGCCAGGGCAGGGCTCTGAGCCAGGCAGGTCCTAACAGGACTCAGGTGGTCCCAGGCTCCATCTGGCTGCAGGTGGGAACATACTTTGGGGCAGGGTTGGGAGCAGGAGGCAAGGAGAAGGCTCTGGGACGTCCAGGCTGGAGGCTGGGCCAGGCGAGGGGCAGTGGAGGGAGTGACAGACTGAGGGAGTTAAAGAGGGGGGCTCCAAGATATTTGTCCTGAGCCACAGGAAGAACTGCAGGGACTGAGAAGGGGAAGGCAGGAGGGGGTGGATCTGGGGGAAGGCTGAGAGCCCAGCTAGGCGTGATCAGTTTGAGAAGGTCAGAGGTGTTAATAGACAGTCACTGCCTCCCCTGGCTTCCCAAATTGCCCTGCCAGAACCTGCCAGCTGGGCTCAAGGCACCCAACCTCCCTCCTGCTCCTCCCAGGTCCATGGAGCTGGAGTCGGTGGGGATGGGTGGTGCGGCAGCCTTCCGGGAAGTTAGAGTGCAGTCGGTGGTGGTGGAGTTTCTGCTCACCCACGTGGACGTCCTGTTCAGCGACACCTTCACCTCTGCAGGCCTCGACCCTGCAGGTATGCTTTCCCACCCCCTGAGGACCTGGCTGCTGCCTCCCACGGTCAGGGCTGCAGGGGAGGGCAGGTGGGCTCCCAGTCCCATCCCTACCCTACTGAAGCTGGGCCTCCTTCCCGGCTCCCTGAGGACCCCGCGCCCCGGCCTCTCCCTCCCCGCGCCCCCCTCCTTCTCATTTCAGCTCCTCCGCTCAGGATTCCCACCTCTTGGCCCGGACGCCGCTCTTTCTTCATCCCTTGTAGCTCCTGGGGGCGCTTGGGGCCATGGGTCCGCCAGGGAGGAGGTGGGAGGTCCCCAGACTTGACCCCGCCCAGGCCCCACCCAGACACCCCACCCTGCCCCGGACCCACCCAGACTCCCCGCCCTGCCCCGGACCCCAGCCCAGTCAGGACTCAGCACGTCGGAGGGCCCTCTGGCCCGAGGTAACTGAAGCCAGAGCCGCTGCCCTCGCTGGCTGCTGGGAGCTGCCTCCTCATCAGCTCGTCCTGCTCCACCCTCCTCCCACCTGCCTGCTGCCCCCGCCCACTCCTGCCTGTTCCGTCCCGCCTTGCCAGCCCGGGTGGGCACGCTGCGGGGCCGGGGGCTTGGGCTGTGGCGCTTGGCTTTGCCTGTGGCATTAGGTGGCCTCAGGGCTGACAGCTCCTCCCTTTCCACACTCCCCAGGCCGCTGCCTGCTCCCCAGGCCCAAGTCCCTTGCGGGCAGCTGCCCTTCCACCCGCCTGCTGACACTGGAAGAAGCCCAGGCACGCACCCAGGGCCGGCTGGGGACACCCACGGAGCCCACAACTCCCAAGGCCCCAGCCTCACCTGTGGAAAGGTGAGTGGGATGCCGGATTCTAGGGGTGGCAAGGGGTAGGTGGAGGCCTGATTCCTCAGATGGCCTCCCATTTCTCCTCCAAACCGCAGGAGGAAAGGGGAGAGAGGGGAGAAACAGCGGAAGCCAGGGGGCAGCAGCTGGAAGACATTCTTTGCACTGGGCCGGGGCCCCAGTGTCCCTCGAAAGAAGCCCCTGCCTTGGCTAGGGGGCACCCGTGCCCCACCACAGCCTTCAGGTGAGAGGCTGGGCCATGGGCTGGTGGGCATTGGGAGTCGCTGGAGTGCCTCCTACCTCTCCCTCTCCTGCAGGTGGCAGACCCGACACCGTCACACTGAGATCTGCCAAGAGCGAGGAGTCTCTGTCATCGCAGGCCAGCGGGGCTGGTGAGCAAGGCGGGGCGAGTGGGGGTGCGACCTGTGCCCAAGTGGAGCCGGGAGGACATGGGGCCCTGGTTTGGCCTCCAGATTTTGTACTTCATGTTTTGGGGTCCTGGGGCTTTTAAAAAATTTAACCCGGTCTTTATGTACAATGAGTTGGATACAGTATCACTTTTGGTTCATTACACGCTGAACTTAACTTACTCATTGTTCCATGATGGGCCCTTTAAAAGTCTTTATTATTCCTGCTTAACATTTTTAAATAATATTATGGACATCCATGAACCCACCAGGCAAAACTAGAGCAGCCTGTTCCTTCTTCCCTTTGAGGTTCCCCCCACCAGAGGCATCCTCTCCATTCCAAGGCCACCATGCCCTTGCTTTCCGGGTTTGATTACACACTGCTCATTCAGTTTGAGTCATTTTGGAAACTTTATTTAAAGAGCGTTGTAATGAAAGGGGCATCACCCTGCATGGGGAGCTTGGCTTTTTCCCCCATCGCTACCTGGAAGTCCACAGTGCCGCTGGGTTCTGCCCTCTGGCCTCTTTGGGGGCTGCTTATCCACCACACCCAGCTATGGTTCAGGGGGCTCTTCTGAGCCAGTGCGCCGTCCTCGTGTCCTCGTACTCCTGGGGTACTGCTCTCTACATATCCAGGAGCAGAGGCGCTGTCCTGCCGGCTCGTCAGCCACGTGTGAGTCTGTCTCGTGCTTACAGCGTGTGGGGTGGCCACAGGGCCTTTGTGCGTGGGGCCAAAAGTGTCCTCTTCATGGTCTCCTTCGCCATGAAACTGAACAGTTCTTCCTGGCTTCGCAGCCACTGTGGCCCTTTCTGGGGAGGTGCCTCTTTATGTCCTTTGCCCAGCTTTCTGTGGGGCTGTGCACCCTATTCTAAGCAATGGTCTCACTGACTCCACCCCTCCAGGCCTCCAGAGGCTGCACAGGCTGCGGCGACCCCACTCCAGCAGCGACGCTTTCCCTGTGGGCCCAGCACCTGCCGGTTCCTGCGAGAGCCTGTCTTCGTCCTCCTCAGAGTCCTCCGAGTCTTCCTCTTCATCCTCCGAGTCCTCAGCAGCAGGGCTGGGGGCACTCTCTGGGTCCCCCTCGCACCGTACCTCAGCCTGGCTAGATGATGGTGATGAGCTGGACTTCAGCCCACCACGCTGCCTGGAGGGACTCCGGGGGCTGGACTTTGATCCATTAACCTTCCGCTGCAGCAGCCCTACCCCAGGGGATCCTGCACCTCCAGCAAGCCCAGCACCCCCCGCCCCTGCCTCTGCCTTCCCACCCAGGGTGGCCCCCCAGGCCATCTCACCTCGAGGGACCACCAGCCCCGCTTCACCTGCTGCACTGGACATCTCTGAACCATTGGCTGTATCAGTGCCACCCGCTGTCCTAGAATTGCTAGGGGCTGGAGGAGCACCTGCCTCAGCCACCACAACACCAGCTCTCAGCCCCAACCGGACCCTGCGCCCACATCTCATCCCCCTGCTGCTGCGTGGAGCTGAGGCCCCACTGACTGACACCTGCCAGCAGGAGTCGTGCAGCAAGCTCCGGGGAGCCCAGGGCCCGCTNGAACACACTGCTCATTCAGTTTGAGTCATTTTGGAAACTTTATTTAAAGAGCGTTGTAATGAAAGGGGCATCACCCTGCATGGGGAGCTTGGCTTTTTCCCCCATCGCTACCTGGAAGTCCACAGTGCCGCTGGGTTCTGCCCTCTGGCCTCTTTGGGGGCTGCTTATCCACCACACCCAGCTATGGTTCAGGGGGCTCTTCTGAGCCAGTGCGCCGTCCTCGTGTCCTCGTACTCCTGGGGTACTGCTCTCTACATATCCAGGAGCAGAGGCGCTGTCCTGCCGGCTCGTCAGCCACGTGTGAGTCTGTCTCGTGCTTACAGCGTGTGGGGTGGCCACAGGGCCTTTGTGCGTGGGGCCAAAAGTGTCCTCTTCATGGTCTCCTTCGCCATGAAACTGAACAGTTCTTCCTGGCTTCGCAGCCACTGTGGCCCTTTCTGGGGAGGTGCCTCTTTATGTCCTTTGCCCAGCTTTCTGTGGGGCTGTGCACCCTATTCTAAGCAATGGTCTCACTGACTCCACCCCTCCAGGCCTCCAGAGGCTGCACAGGCTGCGGCGACCCCACTCCAGCAGCGACGCTTTCCCTGTGGGCCCAGCACCTGCCGGTTCCTGCGAGAGCCTGTCTTCGTCCTCCTCAGAGTCCTCCGAGTCTTCCTCTTCATCCTCCGAGTCCTCAGCAGCAGGGCTGGGGGCACTCTCTGGGTCCCCCTCGCACCGTACCTCAGCCTGGCTAGATGATGGTGATGAGCTGGACTTCAGCCCACCACGCTGCCTGGAGGGACTCCGGGGGCTGGACTTTGATCCATTAACCTTCCGCTGCAGCAGCCCTACCCCAGGGGATCCTGCACCTCCAGCAAGCCCAGCACCCCCCGCCCCTGCCTCTGCCTTCCCACCCAGGGTGGCCCCCCAGGCCATCTCACCTCGAGGGACCACCAGCCCCGCTTCAACTGCTGCACTGGACATCTCTGAACCATTGGCTGTATCAGTGCCACCCGCTGTCCTAGAATTGCTAGGGGCTGGAGGAGCACCTGCCTCAGCCACCACAACACCAGCTCTCAGCCCCAACCGGACCCTGCGCCCACATCTCATCCCCCTGCTGCTGCGTGGAGCTGAGGCCCCACTGACTGACACCTGCCAGCAGGAGTCGTGCAGCAAGCTCCGGGGAGCCCAGGGCCCGCTCGGTGAGTCCTGCTCAGCCTTCCCACCCCTGCCCTGCCTGTCCTCACTGACGCTGAGGGCCCGGACCCGGCTGAACCCCTCTCAACCCCTCTCTTCCTTCCTTGATATAGGTCCTGATACAGAGTCACCATTGCCACCCCCTCCCTTGTCTCTTCTGCGACCTGGGGGTGCCCCACCCCCGCCCCCCAAGAACCCAGCACGCCTCATGGCTCTGGCCCTGGCTGAGCGGGCTCAGCAGGTAGCCGAGCAACAGAGCCAGCAGGAGTGCGGGGGCACCCCGCCTGCTGCCCAATCCCCCTTCCTCCGCTCGCTGTCTCTGGAGGTGGGCGGGGAGCCACCAGGGACCTCAGGGAGTGTACCAGCCCCCACCTCCCTAGCCCACCCGGGTGCCTGGGTGCCAGGACCCCCACCCTACTTACCAAGGCAACAAAGTGATGGGAGCCTGCTGAGGAGCCAGCGGCCCATGGGGACCTCAAGGAGGGGAATCCGAGGCCCCACACAGGTCAGTGCCCAGCTCGGAGCAGGGGGAGGGAGCAGGTGGAGGGAGCAGGGGGAGGGAGCAGGTGGAGGGAGCCGGTGGAGGGGGCAGGGATGCGCCAGAGGCAGCAGCCCAGTCCCCATGTTCTGTCCCCTCACAGGTTCCTGCCCCCGGCTTCTTCTCCCCAGCCCCCAGGGAGTGCCTGCCACCCTTCCTTGGGGTCCCCAAGCCAGGCTTGTACCCTCTGGGCCCCCCATCCTTCCAGCCCAGTTCCCCAGCCCCAGTCTGGAGGAGCTCCCTGGGGCCCCCTGCACGCCTCGACAGGGGAGAGAACCCGTACTATGAGATCGGGGCAGGTGAGGGGTTCCCCTATTCTGGTCCCGCCTGCTCCTGGAGTCCCTTTCGCTCCATGCCCCCTGACAGGCTCAATGCCTCCTACGGCATGCTGGGCCAATCGCCCCCACTCCACAGGTCCCCCGACTTCCTGCTCAGCTACCCACCCGCCCCCTCCTGCTTTCCCCCCGACCACCTTGGCTACTCAGCCCCCCAGCACACTGCCCGGCCCCCGACCCAGCCCGAGCCCCTGTACGTCAACCTAGCCCTAGGGCCCAGGGGTCCCTCACCTGCCTCTTCCTCCTCCTCTTCCCCTCCTCCTGCCCACCCCCGAAGCCGTTCAGATCCCGGTCCCCCAGTTCCCCGCCTTCCCCAGAAACAACGGGCACCCTGGGGCCCCCGAACCCCTCACAGGGTGCCCAGTCCCTGGGGCCCCCCTGAGCCTCTCCTGCTCTACAGGGCAGCCCCACCGGCCTACGGGACGGGGGGTGAGCTCCACCGAGGGTCCTTGTACAGAAATGGAGGACAAAGAGGGGAGGGGGCTGGACCCCCACCCCCCTACCCCACTCCCAGCTGGTCCCTCCACTCTGAGGGCCAGACCCGAAGCTACTGCTGAGCGCCAGCTGGGAGGGGCCGTCCTTGCTTCCCTTCATCCTCGCTGGATCTTGGCCCAGACAAATCCCTTGTTTTGTATTTTCTTGAGCCCTGACCCCTACCCCAGGTTTCTAACTTTCTAACTTGTTTCTGATGTGGGTTTCTAACCTGTAATCCCAGCTTCCCTATCCTGGGCTGAAGGGTCTGCCCACCCCCCACCTCCCTCCATCCTGGGGGTCCTCGCACAAATCTGGGGAGGGGGCGCTAGGCTGACCCCATCCTCCTCTCCCTCCAGGAGCCCCCAGCATGTCCTCACCTGTGCATGGGGGTGGAGGGACAGTTCCTGCCCTTCTCTCCCCACATGCCCCACTAAACCATCTGACAACATTAACGAATAAAATGGTGAAAATGTGGCTGCTGGTGTCGTGCTGGGGCCAAACTCAGTGAGTGAAGAGGGACGGAGGAGGTGCTCTATCATTCTATTTCCTTTTGGGGAGGCACCATGGTGGGAGTTACTCCTGGGAAGCTCTGAGAGGCGGTATCTCAGAGAGGGAACCATGGGTACCCTGGGAGTCTGGGTCAGGAGTGGGGCTCAGGCTGGGCTTTTCTCCGAGCTGACATCCTTTTTGCAGCTCTGCCATGATCTCCTCCAGCAGGTCCATCCTGGGGAGCAGGGAGGCAAGGGTAGACCGAGGGTTACCTCAGGGATAAAGAAGGGCCTCGGGGTCCTCCCATGCAAGGTCTCAGGTCTCACTTCTGCAGGCTGGGGAAAAGACCTCCTCCAGTCAGCTCAGCACCGGGTGTCTGCAGGAGAGAAGGCTGCAGCTGCCACCTGGCTAGCCGTGGCGCTCCAGCGGGCCTGGGAGTGTGGGATGGGGCACAGGCCGGGCTCGGGGTCCTCTGCTTAGCCTGCCCATGGCCTTCCGTGCCGGCAGCCTCCCAGTGTGTGGGAAGCCTCCCTGTGGTTCAGCAGGCTGGGGGTGGGCTCACAGGGCTGGGGGTCCAGCAGGGTAACCCTGTGTGTGTGCCGCAGCAGCCCCTGCAGGGCCAGAGTCTTGGCCGAGAGCTTCCTCAAAGTGCTCCGCAGAGCTCGGGGTCCCCAGCAGGGAGGCTGAGTCCTGGAGGCTGGAGGTGGAGTGCAGGGAAGGGCCCTGGGGGAAGCAGGGTTGGTTAAGGGTCACAGGTGAGAGAGGGGACAGTTGGGCGTCCCTGAAGTTCCCTGGTCAAAGGAGGGCAGCCAGGGAACTCGGGGTTGGTGACTACTGGAGGGCGGGCGGAGGGGGCCACAGGTTAGCAATGGGACAGCGGTGCAGGGCTCTGGGGTATCCGTACCGTTGAGCCGGGCTCTCCGCAGCACTGCAGGTAGGCCCTGGCTGTGGGGCTGTGGCCAGGCCCGGGGCTGCTGCCTAGAGTCAAACTGCTGCCCGAGTTCCAAGCTACGCCCCTCGGGACCCTGCTGTGGCCTGTGACCTCAGGAGTCTCCGGGGCCTGCAGAGAGGAATGGCAGAGAGCTGCCGTGGCTTGCCCAGGTGTCCCACAGCTCCCCTGGCCCCCCACAGCCCCATCCTGGCTCCCACCTGGGATGGGATGGGGCCTGGAGACGTCAGAGTGGGCACAGGCCTGGGTGTGCTCTTGGCTCTGTGAGCCATTTCACAGTACAGTTTCTCTGTGGGGGCAAACCAGTTGGTCGGATGGGGGGCACAGCTCAGCTGTGCCCAGCACCCGCCATTGTCTCCTCCTCCTTGCCCTCTAACCTGGTGGGGAAGCCTGGGATGCAGGGGACAGCGTGGTCCACTCCATCGGGGAGCCCACCTCAGGAGCCATGTCCTGTGGACCAGAGGCTGGGTATGGGGACATGGGCCTGCCTGGGGTCCCACGGCCACCACCCACACCCTGCCGACCTGCCCTGTACCTGGGCCGTGGCCTCCCGCAGTAGGTATCGGGTACTCTGCAGGCTGCCCCAGCGGTCGGCAGGTGCCAGGCCTAGCCCAGCTCGAACCAGGGCCTGGTAGGGCGCCGGCACCCGAGGGTCCAGGGCCGGGCTCTCCCCTGCCTCCAGCTTGGCCTTCACCTCGGGTCCCCCTCTACCAGCCCAGGGCAGCTCTCCTGCCAGGAAGCACAGTTAGGGACCCAAGCAGGAGGGTGCCTCCCTGGGGCAGGGCACAGCCACTCACTGACCAGTGAAGACCTCCTGGGCCAGGGTGCAGAAGCTGTAGAGGTCCGAGGTGGTGGTGGGAGTGTCACTGCAGATCAGCTCAAGTGGCAGCCATGGGTACAGTTCAGGGGGTGGGGGAAGCCCTGGGCCTGGGCCTCCCCACGGGTAACCCTGCTGTGGCCTGTGGACCCCAAGGAGCCTGGTGAGCCGATGGCTGCTGGACAGGGACCTGCACCCACCACCAGACCGAGGAAAACTGAGACCCCAGGTCACACAGCGGCCCAGCAGTGGGAGGGCCAGCAACCAACTCCTGTAACACTCTCAGTGCTCCTCCCCACCCCCACCCCCTTCCTGGGGCCTACAGGACACAGCTGTGCCTGGCCACAGAGGCTGGAGAATGGGGAGGAAGGGAGCGGCGTGCAGGCCCGAGACAAGGGGCAGCAGGTGCGGCAGGGGCTCACCTGGGCCGCAGCCAGCGCTGGTGCAGGGGGCGCCCGTGCTCCAGGTGGCCCACCTTAGCCAGGCCTGGCCGCACCAGCTGCACAGCATGGGAGCTGAGGCCGCCGTGAGCTCGCCAGCGGGCCTGCAGGAACAGCAGGGCCTCCAGCACCTGCAGCAGCAGGGGGCCAGGCGGCAGGCCCGGCACAGTCCGGGGTCCCTCCTCACTTGGTCCCCGAGGGTGCAGCACCCCGTGCAGGGAGCCGAGCCACACAGGCTCAAAGAGAAGGCACAGCCCCGACAGGTCTGCAGAGGGGCTAAGTGCCATCAGCAGCAACAGGCCGGGGTGGTGCAGCGTGCTGGGCAGGAGGAGAGCAGGCCACTCAGGAGTAGGCCCCAGCCACACAGGGTGGGAGCTGCTCCTGGGCACAGACCACCCACCACGTTCCGGGTCAGGTGGTCTGCACCCACCCCCAGACAGAGGAGAATGACCCTGGGTCACGCAGCCTAGCAGTGGAGGGCCAGCACCCGGCTCCCACCTTGTCCTGGTGCCCTCTCCACCCCCACCTCCTCTCAGGCCTACAGGGCACTGCACACAGAACTGGTACCCACCCACTGTCCAGTGGGGGGATCGCCCCAGCGGGAGAGCTCCGTGCCAGGTGCTGGTCCAGAAGTAAAGACTCCAGCCATGGCTACAGCCACACACCCTGGTCTTCCACGGGAGGGCCGGCAGGAGGCTGGGCTGGGGGCTGGCACGGGTACCTGCAGTGCTGAAGGTCAGCCAGGAGCACATCAGGCTGGGTTCCAGGGGACTTCAGCTGCCGCACGGTCACGGGGTGACCCCTCCACAGGAGGCTGGAGAATGGGGGGTGGGGGCAGGACA